AAAAAAAAAAAAAAAAAAAAAAAAAAAAGGCAAATGGACATTTCACAAGATCCTTGATCATCCCCCATTACTAAAAGGACAGCACTCTATGACAGTATTCTTTCACCATGTCTGTATGTCGAAAACATGCTTGATACAAAGAAGTTTAATGCTTATTTGAGTTTCTTTAAAAATTGTTTTTTTTGCTTTTTTGAATACTTTATAAATTATTCATAAAATGACTTAAAATACAAAAAATAAAAGGATCCACTGGACCCAGGTGACAAAGGGTATGGTCCATTTTTCCTAGTATAGTGAATAAATGAATCCCTACAGGTAAAATGCTTAGAATAGTTTCTACACAAAGTATGCACTATATAAGTAATAGCTGTTGTTGCTGCTGTTTTTACCACGGTGGAAGGACAGCTGGAGGAGATGAGGACAATGGAATATGTCAAGGAAAAATCTGAACACTCAAGAAAGACTGAAAGAGCCAAACATGGTGGCATATGCCAGTAATCCTACCACTTGGGCAGCTTAGGCAGGAGGATCACAAGTTTGAGGCCAGCCTGGACTCCATGGTAAGTCCAAGACCAGCCTGAACCATGAACTATATAGTAAGACCATCTCAAAAAACAAACAAAAGACTAGAAGATATTCTGAGGCCAAATAGAGAAAATACAGCCCTTTATCCACAAACTTATCTGAAAACAAAGCTGTAAATAACAGAGGACCCCACCACCACCACAAGGTCTCACTATGTTGCTTAGGCTGGATTGAAACTCCCAGGTGACCTTTCTGCCTCAGCCTCTGGAATAGCTGTGACTAAAGATCCTTGCCATCATGCATGGCCCCAAAGGAACTTTTTTTTTTTTAATTAGGCATTGAAATAATTTGACAGCAAAATCTGACCTGAATTTTTTTTTTTTTTTTTTTGAGACTGGGTTTCACTATGTACTTCAGGCTGGCCTTGACCTCACTATATACCCCAGGCTGGCCTCAAACTAGAGGCAAACCTCCTGCCTCAGCCTCCCAAGTGCTGGGATTACAGACACTCATCACCACGCCCAGGGCAGACCTGAATTACTATAAAGCTATTTAAAGTTTTTTAATTTAATCAACTTACTACAAATACAAATACATTTCATCCCACAAATATTAACATGTGTACCACTTCAAACACTATTGTGCTAGGGATTTGGCTGTGGTTCCGGTGCCTGCCTCACAAGCACAAGGACCCGAGTTCGATCCACAGTACCAAAAAAAAAAAAAATCTAACCTCAAACACTACTGCGTCACGGCGCATGCCTGTGGTGCTGGCACTCTGGAGGCTGAGGCAGAAGAATCACTGTGAGTTCGAGACCAGCCTGGGCTACATAGTAAGTTCCAGGTCAGTCTCAACTACATAGTGAGACCCTGTTTCAAAAAAAAAGATCTAAATAAAACAAACACTAAACTTGCTGGAAGATAAGTTAGGCAGAACTCTCAAAGACATTGGTATAGGAAAGACTTTATGAACAAATCCTTAGTAGCACAGGAACTGGCACAAAGAATCAACAACTGGAATCTCATCTTATTAAAAAGCTTCTGCACTGCAAGAGAAACCACCAACAGAGCTAAGAGACAATCTATAATGTGGGAAAAAATTTTTACCAGGTGCTCCTCAGATAAAGGACTATAATCTACAATATATAAAGAACTAAAAACATCAGGGCCCCCAAATAGAAAGACCTGATTCAAAAATGGGCATCTGAAATGAACAGACATTTCTCAGACGAAGAAGAAAAAGCAGCTAATAAATTGTATGAAAAAACGTTCCACATCACTGGTCATTTGAGAGATGCAGATGAAAATAACACTGAGATTCCACCTCACTCCAGAAAGAATGGCTGCTATCAAGAAATCAACCAATAAGAAATGTTGGTGGGGTTGTGGGGAGAAAGGAACCCTTCATCCATCATTGCTGGGAGTGCAGACTGGTGCAACCTCTATGAAAATCAATATGGAGATACCTCAAACAACTAGGATTAGAGGTTCCATTTGACCCAGCTGTTCTTCTGCAGGGTATCTTTCCCAAAGAATTAGAAGAATCATACCACAGTGATGTATGAGCACCCATGTTATAGTGGTAGAGTTTGTAATAAGTAAAACTTGGAAATAGCCAATTGCCCATTAGTTGGAGACCGGATAAAGAAGATGTGGTTTTTCTATAAAATGGAGTAGTACTCAGCCATAAAGAATGAGAAACTAGTCATCTATAGGAAAATGGATGCACATTGAGGCCATACTCTTAAGTGAAATAAATAAGACACACATGTATAAATACCAAATAGTTTTTCTGGTGTAAAAACACCAAAAGTGTAAATAAAATCCAAATTGTATAACTGACAATGTGAAGTAGGAAGAAAGGGGCCAAAGGTGTAGGGGAAGTGGGAAGGGTAGAGGAGAGGGAATAAGGAACAAGAAAAAATATGAGAAAAGGAAAAAATGGAAACAAAGTTTTTGTAAATAGGGGAGGGAGAAGGGGATGAAGGGAGTGCAAGGGTATGGGAAAAAAATGAGAACCAAGATCTGTCATGTAAAATACAAGATCCCAATAGGAAATGTAACTACTATATACCTAAATAGTACCAATAAACTCAATAAAATAAAATAAAAAGTGCAGTCTTTTAACATAATCATTAAGACAATAAAAATTTATGAGACAGGTGAAAAACTGCTTCAAAACCTTTTTTTTTTTTTAATTTTTACTTTTTTTTATTTTTCTCATACAGGATCTCACTATGCAGTTCAGGATGGCCTTGAATTCACTATGTAGCCCAGGCTGGCCTGGAACTCAAGATGATCCTCCTTCCTGCTTCAACCTCCTGAGAGCAGAGATTACAGTTGTGTGCCACCTTGCCTGGCTTGCAGAACAATTTTGAAACATTTGTGAGAGACTTCTATATATCTCTAAATGATACCGGTACTTCAACCTGTCATTATAATCATCTGATTATAGTGTCCTTTTTTTTTTTTTTTTTTTTTTTTTTTTTTTTTTTTTTTGTGCTAGTGATCGGATCAAGGGCCTTGCAGATGCTGAGCACTGAGTTACACCCCAGCCTCTAGTAAAGCTTTTGTGTATGTGTGTAAGTGATTCTTTGAGACAGTGCCTTGCCGTGTAGTTTAGGCTAGCCTTGAACTCACTATGGCGCCCAGGCTAGCCTCACACTCATAGCAATCCTCCTGCCTCAACCTCCTGAGTGCTAGGATTACAGGCATGCAACACCACATTTAGCTCCATTTTATCTTTTCAATACAAGTGTGCCACAGTCCCAGTCATCCTAGAAGCTGCCCTCTATTTTAACACCAGAGAGTACACCCCAGACTTTCAAACCTTCCCAACCTTCCCAACCTCCCGAGTCTGCTGGTTTCAGACAGGCTGCCCAGCCTCCCTTCCCTCTCTTCCAGTACTGCCTAGCCATGGGCCAAAGCACCCCGCTCTACCATGTCTGCTATGCTGAACTGCTGTGCCTCACCATTTTCCTCCAGAACATGAGGCTTCTGTGGCTCTTGTTCAGGCTGGGCGTCCATGGACAGGAACTGGTGACCAAAGGCCTCTTGCACTGCTCCACGCGGTACCATCTTCTGAGGAAGCACTTCAGGATATACCACAATCTAACAACCACAACCACAACCAATCAGTGCAGTTACAGAGATGTCTATGAAAGAACCCAGTAGAATCCACTGGACTTTTATTAGTCCTCCACTAAATATTTAATGTACATCCGCAATGAGCCAGGAACTACTATACAATGGTTTGAGAAATACGATTTATTTCTACTTGGAGATGTTCATGGAAGACAGTAATACACACATACTAATTACAAACTGCTGTAAGTTAGTGAAAGGGAAATAAACTTCTCCGTAGCTAAAGCTAGACTTGCTAATGGGGAGGGATGACGTCCCTCCATTTCTTTTTTCTTTTTGGTACAGAGGATCAAACTCGGCTTCCAAGGCAGGTGGCAGCACCACTGAGCACCCCAGCCCTCCATTTCTTTTAATGCACCTGGGCCTGCTTGGGCCCAGCTCCCTCAAACATCTCAGGAATTTTCTTTGTCCTCAAACACTTTTGTTACTCCCACCTACCTGCAAATTAGGCGAAATTCAATGCACTGTGTTAACCAACAAATCTGCTATATGTCAAACTCTGTAACCAATAAGGTTGCTGGGCCTATATGTAAATGAAGCATTGACACTTGTAACTTTCTAATCAATAAAATGATGTTAAATGCATAGTTCCTATAACCCCTCCCCTTCCCTAAGGGAATAACAACCCAGCTCTGGCTCATTTAGTCCATCAGTCTCTTTCTGGAGAAGTCCCACACTGCTTGCCAGCATTAAGAATAAAGCTGTAAAATAAATAAATAAATAAACAGAAACAAAGTCTTTGTAAATAGGGAAGGGTGAAGGGGGTGAAGGGCAGGGATATGGGGAAAAAACGAAAATCAAGCTCTGTCATGTAAGGGTGCAAGATCCCAATGATGAATGTAACTGTACTGTACACTTAAAAAGTACCAATAAACTCAATGAAAAAATAAGTAAATAAATAAAAATAAAGCTGTACACTTTGCCTCTGAGGCTCCTGGGTGTGTCTTCCATTCTGGACTACCTGCATTGAGCTGTGAACCCTGATGCTGTAACACTAGAGCTTTCAGCTCTGGAGCTGTAACACTGGAGTTGTATATACTGGCTGGCACTTTGCCACTGCATCAGAAGAAATGTGGCCTTGTGAGATAAAAACAGATGAGATCCACTTTAGACTGGGCGGCCATTGAAAGCTTTTCTAAGGTAGTGTCACTTAACACCTAAAGGATAAAAAGAAAGCAACCAAGGGAAAAGTACTGAAGAAAGAAACCCAGGCAGAGAGAACATTAGCAAAATCCTCAAGCAGAAGGAGGGTATTCAGTACAATCCAGGAAACTTATGAAGCCCAGTGTGAGTAAAGATTAGAGAAGGGAAGAAATGAGAAAGGGGGTTGAAAAGGCTGTTAAACAACTTAGGAAGTGACACGCAGACAAACACACACATAAGCTTGTTCATATCCACAGTGCTCCTGGCCCCCACCTTTCTTCTATCGGCCCTTTGTCAACCCTAGGGTACAATAACTCTGCTACAACTCTCCTAGATCATGCCTTTTGTGGAAGGTAGCATATCAGTCCTAGCACAGGGTAAAATAAGATCCTACTCTAAGCTAAACCTATCTCCTTTCTCCTTCCTCTGGTTTCAAAGCACTTTAAAATGTAACTCTTCTAGTAGAGTTATCATATTAAGAGGCAGCTATAAGAGTTGTGGCAAATACCACCCTGAAAGCTTCTGTGAACCAGTGGCCCTGCCCAGAACAAGAGTTCAAATGGTTCCAATGTTATTGGGTACCCAGGCTCCAAACAACTGAAGCACTATTTGAGGTCCACTCGAAGACAAAGAAACTATGAAAAATTATGGATGGCATAAATAACATTACCAGGGACACCAGAGTACAGGGAGGACAGCCAAACAAAATAAGCTATAAAGATCTTTGGAAAATCCCTCCAGATGGGCCTTATAGCTGACTACCATAAATAAATGATTTTCCTGCATGTATGAGCTGCGTGCATATTACAGTGAAGAGAGGTAGATGTGTAATATCTGCTGTAAGTTCTGCATTTTTAAAGTCCTTTTGATTTTACATTACGCTTTTGAATATTTACTTCTGCAAAATAGTAGGAAAGTTTCCATTAGTATCCCATGTTAACTTAAAAAAAAAAGAAAAACTGAACTTCACCATGAGCCTTTACTTTTTGTTCTGACTGAGCAATTGAAAGGTTGAAACATTCCCATTTGCAGGACAATCCTTCAGGACATCAATAGAGTCTGGTTGTAGGTGAACAGCAACTCCTGTGCTGCTACCTGCATCACAGGGAAACCAACTCAAGAGCTTGGATCTTCTGGAGCTCTGAAGTATCCCTCACCCAGGGGGAAGAATGATGAGACTGGTACCTTAAATTTAAATACAGTGGCTCTAATAAATAAGAATTCTCCACCACTTACTTCACAAAGCACAAGGTCCCGAGTATGATCCCCAGTACAAAAAAAAAATAGAATGAGAATTCTGTAGCTACTTTCAAACTCTTGTAAACCGTGATCCCATAATTTTTGTTTCTTTGCTATTAAAAGAAAAGAAATTAAAGGGCCACAGATTTAGCTCAGTGGCACTGCGCCTGCCTTGAAAGCACAAGGTCGTGAGTTTGATCCCTGGTACCAAAAAAAAAAAAAAGAATGAGATAGAAAATAAATTAAAGCTCACAAGAGCATTAGCATACGATCAAGAGAAAGGAGTCAGTTTACAAATAAGTATAGGGAAGAGAAAGAAGTGAAACAGGGGCCAGGGATTTAGGTCAGTGGTTCTGCCTGCAAGCACAAGGTCCTGAGTTCAATCCCCAGTAGGGGGGAAAAAAAAAGAAGTGAAACAAAGTTATGAATCATTCCTAAATTAACATGCAATTTAATAAAATCCCAACAATACTATCAACAGGACTTCTAGAGTGGTGGAAACTAAGTAATTCTAAAGTTCACAGGAGCAAAAGAAAACACACAAAAAAAAATTTTTTAAGGGAGTAAGGGTAATTCTACTCGATACCAAAACATCTAACACAGCTCAAATAATTAAAAATATTGATACTGAACAGCCAAGAAGATTGATAAAAATAAGACTAGACATGAATCTCAAATACAAGCAGAAATATGACACTTAATAAAGATGGCATATAAATCAATGAAGATAAAGAGGATCATCACGTCATTGGGCGACTAGATAAGTATCTGAGGAAAAAATAAGTGTAACCACACTAAATACCTTACACCAAAATAAATTTAAAGGGGGAACTATCACTTAAAAGCACTAAAAAACAATGGAAAAGGAAAGATGAGGAAAACATTTTCATAATGTTATAGAGAGGACCTTTTTAACTATGGCATGAAATCTAGAAACCATCAAAAGAGTTAAACTGATTGCATAAAGTTTAAAAATCTCCATACGTAATGAAAAACAACAGACTAGAAAAAATAACATGCAAATGGCAGACATAACTGTAATAGGTACAGATTACAGGTAATAAATATATACAAATAATTTGCCCAAAATACACACAAAAAAATAAATAGCCTTCAAAAATATGCTCTAGAGTCAAACTCACAAAACAAATGCAAATAAAAATGGCACAGAAATGAACAGATATGGGTCTTTTGCAAATGGGAAGAGAACCAAGAGATGGAGGGAGTAGGGAGAAAAGGAAATGAGTGTAATCATTATGTGCTGCAAACATACACAATAAAAATAAAAATTTTTAAAAATTGCACAGAAATGGAATATTTTATCTTCCACATTGACAATAATGAAAATGTTTGATAACATTGGTGTTGCCAGGCCATAACAAAAAATTCATTTATACATTGTTGGTGGGAATATAAATTAACTTCTATAGGAGACAAAATGTAACAGCTATCAAAATTGCAAATGTACCTCTGAGCCAATAATTTGATTTCAAAGCAACCATTCTACAACTTCGTGTGTGTGTGTGTGTGTGTGTGTGTGTGTGTGTGTACACATGCAATAGTCATACAGCAGTTTTTTGTTTGTTTTGTAGCACTGAGGAATAAACCCAGGGCCTTTGCTAAACCCCCTAGTCCTTTTTCAGTTTGAGACAGGATCTTGTTAAATAGTTAAAATTACTCAGGCTGGTATAGAATTTGTGATGCTTCTGCCTCAGACTCCCACAGTGCTGGAATTACAGGCTTGTACCACCCCTGCCAACTACCAAACTTTGTTATAGTAAATATTTGGAAACAATCTAAAGAACAACTAAAATTAACAAGAGTTAAATAAATTATGGTATATTCATACCTAAATATAATGCAGTTGCAAAGAAAAAGGCAGTTTTATTTGTACTATGATGGAACACAATAAGATATAAAAGAGCAGGACAGGCATACTCTTAAGTGAAATAAATAGAACACACATGGAAATATTAAATAGTTTCTCTGGTGTGAGAAACTGAAAGTGTAAATGAGGACCAAAATGTATAGTGGATGATGTGAAATAGGAAGAAAAAGTCCAAAGGGGAAGGGAAAGGGGAAGTGGGAGGGATAGGAGAAAGTAAAGAACAGAAAGGAAAAACTACAAGAAAAGGAAAAATGAAAACAAAGTCTTTGTAAATAGGGAGAGGTGGAGGGGATGAAGGGAAGACAGGGGAAAAAAAATAAGAACCAAGATATATTATATAAAGGTACAAATTCCCAATGATGAATGTCATCATAAAGGGGAAGGGAAAGGGGAAGTGGGAGGGATAGGAGAAAGTAAAGAACAGAAAGGAAAAACTACAAGAAAAGGAAAAATGAAAACAAAGTCTTTGTAAATAGGGAGAGGTGGAGGGGATGAAGGGAAGACAGGGGAAAAAAAATAAGAACCAAGATATATTATATAAAGGTACAAATTCCCAATGATGAATGTCATCATATTGTATACCAAAATATGCTTTTTAAGCACATCATATACATATATGCTAATATATAAATGAATGTGCTATATATCTCTGTAAAGATATATAAGTATCATGTAAAGATGGCTGCCTCTGGAGAAGAGAATTAGGCAGTTGGGAAATCAGGGGTGGAAGAAAACTTACTTTTCATTACAACTTTATGTACCTTTTTGTATTTTGTATCATGTCATTCAAAATATAAATACAATCTTAAAAATAAACAAAATCGCAGATTGTCTTCTACAGGTTAACACACTGGATACTGCTTCTCTTTGCTGGTGTGGCAGGAAGTCTCCACAGTGCACCTAATCCCAGGAGAACAAAAGAATATGAATGAAGCACCAGAGGGCTAAGAATCTCACCGCTTCTAAGCAGCTCCTTAACTCTTTCCTCTCCTTCTTCATTGCTCCTGTCTCCTCTTCCACTCACCTGTTGTCTTCGTTCCTCAAGTTCTCTCTGTATACTTTCTATCACAGCCACAGCCTCTTCTCCACTTTCAGGGTGATGTTCTCTCACCCAGGCCTGGAACTCTTCAGGCAGGATGGTCAGGAACTGTTCCAGCACCAGCAGCTCCAGGATCTGCTCCTTGGTGTGCAGCTCAGGCCTCAGCCACTCACAACAGAGCACCCGGAGCTGGCTCAGGGCCTCCCGGGGTCCTGATGCCTCATGGTACTGGAAATGCTTGAAGCGCTGATAAAAAGTCTCAAACGTTGGCGGATTGTACTCCTGCATCCAAGTGCAGTCTTCTTCTTCCACCTTCACTATTAGAAGATCCTCCTGCTCTTGTGAAGGCTCAACTGGAGGGTCTAAATCTATAATTTCCCGGGAGTCTGTCATTATCATTCCAACTCAGAGGGAGGTCTCTTGAGTCTGTTTGTTACTCTGACCGAATTTATTTTCTACTCTTTAAGATCCTCCGAAGGGCACTTTCAGTAGTGTACAGCCTACTGATACACAGGGAATCATTATTAACGAACAGATGGCAAAGACGTCATCTTGACTAAAAATGACCATTCAATAAAGTAATTTACTGGAAAACATGCACTGTAAGGCAAGTAGTCAATTCGTTCATTAATTATTAGCAGAACACACCCAATATTTTAAAAAATGTTTTTCAAAAGCCATAAAAATTTGATCTCAAGCCCAATCTAAAACATCATTTTAGAAGTGACAAGCTTCACATTTCATATAAAGGGACAAGACTGGGCCGGGGATTTAGCTCAGTGGTGCCGCCGCCTGCCTCGGAAGCACAGGGAGTTCGATCCCCGGTACCAAAAATAACAAATAATTTAAAAAATAAATAAAGGGACAAGACTTACTAATCCAGACTGCGTCGCTTCTTCTCTCTACCACAAACCAAACTTAAGTCAGAATAGGGGTGGAAAACATTAAAATAGTCATAACTGGCCCTATCCTGACAGACCAGAAGGAGACTTCATTGGTCCCTAAGAGGAGCAGAGTGATTATAGTTAAGAGATTGGACCTGGATCCTTCGGAATCGTTCCTGACCCTAAGATACAGACGGGCCTGGTCAAGGTGGGGGATAGGACTCCTGTCCGAACCAAATCCCTACCCACTGCCCTCAAGTTTCCAGTCTAGGAGAGCTCTCCTGAAAGATAAAACTCCCCGAATCCAAAGCGTGCAAGATGGGATTCCTCTTAAGAACAGAGAGAACACTGACGCCCAACATTTCCTCGCCGGAAGTAAGCGGGTCCAAGCTTAAACCGCAAATCCCACCCCCGAGAACACTTCCGAGTCCTCTCTAGGAATCCCGGAGGTCCTAGCCTCTCAGCGGGCGGGGATGCCGCCCCCAACCCCGCCCCGGCTAGGGAGCCTATCGAGTGGTGTGGAGACTGGGGGCGGGGGTGTCGTTTCAGGGGCCCGCCTTCCCCAACCCCTCCAACTCCAGCCCCGCTAGCGCTAAACCGATCAGGAGGCCCCGCCATCCTCTTCCCTAACCCAAAGTCCCTTTCCTTGGATGGGGGAGAGGGCGGGACCTTAGGGCGGCGGGCGAGAGGGGCGAGCGTCTGATTGGCTGTAGCCCTTTGCATCTCCCCACCACAAATTCTCTAAACCTCAGTTTGAAATAGATCTGTACCTGTCTTTCTACAAGCCGCATCCCTCACCTTAAACTGTGGACCCTTTAGAGTTTTTTTCACCCGGATCCTCGCCATTCCTCTGACGCATTTTCCAAACACATCCACCTTAGCCCGGCGTGGTGGCGCACGCCTGTAGTCTCAGCACTCGGGAGGCTGAGGCGGAAGGACTGCGGCGATTTCGAGGCCAGCATGGACTACATAGTTCAAGGCCAGATTGGATTGCACAGCGAGACCCTGACTCAAAAATGGCGGGGGGAGGATTTAGCTCAGTGGCGACGCGCCTGCCTCGCATCCGCAAGGTCTTCGATCCCCGGTACCAAAACAAAAACAAGAACAAAAACAAACAAAGCCACCTTGACAGCCGCTGTTGGCTCACACAGCCAAAATCGACGTCATAGCCCGCCCCCCACAAGTAGCGGAAGCCAGTGCCTCCTGGAACTACATCTCCCAGAAAGCACCGCGCGGGGGACGTAGATTGACCAATAGGGTCGCGGTTCTCCTTGACTCCTTGGCCTTGGAAGCCTATCAGAGTGCAGCAAGCCAGGGGGTGATTCTCAGGGCGCTATCCCGGAGACCCAACTCACTGATGGGCTGCTAGCCAGAGCAGGAGCTCCTTGTGAGGACAGGGTAACGGGTACGCAGGGCTTGATCTCTCACTTAGGTGTAGTACCTTAGGTTTTCCACTCCCTTCGAAGTTTACAAAGCTTTTGGACAGGCAGGACAAGAGTTCCACCCTTTAAGGGCTCATAGGAACACTGGTGAAACTGCAGACTCTGAAATACATGTGGTATAAGGAGGTTAGAAGACTAAGTCATGCTTGATGGGTAGCTTCCTGACTAGGACCAAGCCGCTGGTGAATATCTGCATTATAGAGTTTCATGTGTGAGTTGCCATTTAAACATAAAAACAGAAGAATCTATAAGACGATGTACTATAGAATTTTGCAGCTGTAATTTAATCTTGCTTCTGCTGAATTAGCTTAGTATAATGTACATAAAAGCTATCTAAGGTGTTGCTAGGGATTTAGCTCAGTTGTACTGCCTCCTGCTTCGCAAGCACGATCCCCGGTACCAAAAAAAAAGTTATCTAAGGTTGATAGCGACTTTTTCTAATATATTTACCTCCATTTTAGTGGTTTACAAGTATTCCATAAAGTTTTGTTTTGTGACAGGGTCACACTATGTACTTCAAGGCTGACCTTGAAATCATTATATAGCCCAGGCTGGCCTCAACCTCGTGGTAATCTTCCTGCTTCAGCCTCCCTAAGTGCCAGAATTATAGGTGTGTGCCACCACGCCCAGCTAAGTGTTCTTTACATTTTAATATTTACTTATGAAATAGATAATACATAGAGATCATTCCCTATAGCAGAGCATTTTTACTCTCTTACTGTATGAATGGCATCACATTATTAAAATATACTATACTCTAGTCCTTACTGGTGCTAGTAAACAGTGCTCTTCTATATACATATTTTTGTCTGTATTTGTTGTTTCAAACATGTAAATATAACCATAGGATGAATTCTTACATGTGAAATTGAGTCAAAAGATCAGTTTCTTTCTGGGTGTGGTGTCGCATGCCTGTAATCCCCTATCACTCCGGAGGCTGAGGCAGGAGGATCGCTGTGAGTTCGAGACCAGCCTGGGCTACAAAGTGAGTTCCAGGTCAGTCTCAATTCCATAGTGAGACCCTGTCTCAAAAAACAAACAAACAAAAAAACACAAAAGATCAGTTTCTCATATATTTGTATCTATTTCTATATATCTGATCTGAATAGATAAAGGCTCTTAGCAAAAAAAAAATCTGGAGAGATTATGTTAGGTACAAATGTGTAGTGTCACTTTATTTTTCTCTTTTCTGCCCAGGTATGTCCAACAACTAAACCATTGCTTTCCAAAACTCTAGGACAAGTTTTCATGCTTCACTACCTCAGGAGACAACATACATTTTTATGAAAGAGATTTTTGCCCTTGATCTTTCCAGGATATTTCCCCTTTAACATTTTCAGCAACTCAAAATACTACTAATATCATGTGAGGAAACGTTATGCCAACTTAGTTGAAAGAAAGGATATATATATATTTTTTTTTTCATGAATCCCCACATTCACCAGTCCTTCTGACACTTGCTGGATGTCCCCAAGAAAGACCTCTCTCAGTACTGATAATTTCCTGGAAGAACTCAACTAACGGAAAGCTATTCTTGCTCACACTGTGAAAAGATACAAATTGAAATCAGGCCATAGAAGTCAGATTCTATGGTCCACACTTGTAATTCTATAACTGAGAGCCTGAGAAAGGAGGATTGCAAGTTTCAGCCCAGCTTGGCCAGTTTAGTGACTTACTGAGATTCTGTCTCTAAGTTTTAAAAACTTTAAAAACTGCTGGGATGTAGCTCAGTGGTAGTGCACTCTGGGCTGAATCCCCAGTATCATGTTAAAAATAAAATCAACTAAGAGAAGAGGCTTCTAGGATAGGATCTAAAAGAGCTCCAAGCATGAAGCATGCAGGTGTTTTTTCCTTGTGGATTGGTGAAGACAGTGCTAACATCCAGTGATGGCATGTGATAATGCACATGCAGCACTGTCAACCAGAGAGGCTCACTTGAGCCTTAATGTTGTAAGATTTTTTTTGAAGCTCAGTCACATGGGCATGGTTTACTGCTCTTATAGCTGATCTTATTCTCTAGCCCTGCAAAAGTTAAGCTGATATGCCATGGCTCAAGATATTGCCACCAAAAATCACACTGTTAATACAGAATAATGGGCATGGCCCAACACCCTAATGTAAATACACTTATTGAGCAGGTTATTCCAAAGGTTTCGAGAATACTTCCCATTAGCTGAAGTTAAAAAGACCAGACAGCTGTGGGGTAAGGTTAATTGTTTACTATATTATGGTTTGGCTATTTTATTTCTTTTGCTATGACTAATCTTTTTTTTTCATTAAGTTGATTGGTACTTTTTAAATATACATTATAGCTACATTCATCATTGGGGTCTTGAAACTTTACAGGACAGATCTTGGTTCTAATTTTTGCCATACCCTGCCCTTTTCACCCTCTCCACTCTCCCCCATTTACAAAGACTTTGTTTCCATTTTCCCCTTTTCTCATACTTTTTTCTTTTCCCCTATTTCCTTTCCCCTACCCTTCCAACTTCCCTACACCTTTAGCCCTTTTCTTCCTATTTCACATTTTCAGATATACAATTTGGATCTTATTTACCCTTTTAGTTTTTCCACACCAGAGAAATTATTCAATATTTACACCTGTGTGTCTTATTTCACTTAAAGAGTATGCCTCAATATGCATCCATTTTCCTATAGATGACTCTAGTTTCTCATTCTTTATGGCTGAGTACTACTCCATTTTATAGAAAAACCACATCTTCTTTATCCAGTCTCCAACTAATGGGCAATTGGGCTATTTCCAAGTTTTAGTTATTACAAACTGTGCCGCTATAAACATGGGTGCACATATATAACTGTGGTATGATTCTTCTAATTCTTTGGGAAAGATACCCAGCAGAAGCATAGATGGGTCAAATGGAACCTCTAATCCTAGTTGATTTCCACAGTAGTTGCACAAGTCTGCACTGCCAGCAATGATGGACGAGGGGTTCCTTTCTCTCCACAGCCCCACCAACATTTCTTATTGGTTGATTTCTTGATAGCAGCCATTCTTTCTGGAGTGAGGTGGAATCTCAGTGTTGTTTTCATCTGCATCTCTCGAATGACCAGTGATGTGGAACTTTTTTTATACATTTATTAGCTGCTTTTTCTTCTTCATCTGAGAAATATCTGTTCATTTCAGATGCCCATTTTTTAATCAGGTCTTTCTATTTTGGGGCCCTGATGTTTTTAAGTTCTTTATATATTCTAGATAATAGTCTTTTATCTGAGGAGCACCTGGTAAAAATTTTTTCCCACATTGTAGTTGTCTCTTAGCTCTGTTGGTGGTTTCTCTTGCAGTGCAGAAGCTTTTTAGTAAAATGAGATCCCAGTTGTTCTTTGTGCCAGTTCCCATGCTACTGAGGATCTGTTCATAAAATCTTTCCTATGACAATGTCGTCGAGAGTTCTGCCTAACTTATCTTTCAGCAAGTTTAGTGTTTCTGTTTTAATATTTTGATCTTCAATCCACTTGGATTTTAGTTTAGTGCATAGTGAAAGATAAGGGTCTAGTTTTAATCTTTGGCAGGTTGAAATCCACTTTTTCCAACACAATTTATTCAAGAGGCTATCTCTCCTCCAGTGAAGTTGGTTGGCTCCTTTGTCAAAGATGAGGTAGCTGAGTACATCTGCAATTGTTTCTGTATCTTTCAATCTATTCCACTGATCTTTGGGTTTTTTCTTTGCCAGTACCATGCTGTTTTTATCACAGTGGCTTCATAGTATAATTTCAAGTTGGGGAATGTGATACCCCCTCTCATGCCTCTGTTGCCTAGGATTACTTTTGCTATTCTAGGTCTCTTCTCATTCCAAAAGATTTTTTGGATTATTTTCTCTAGTTCTGTGAAATATACTCTTGGAATTTCAATAGGGATTGCACTGAATCTGTATAGCAGTTTTGGCAGTATGGCCATTTTCACTATGTTGATTCTTCCTACCTAGGAGCAGGGGATATCATTCCATTTTATTATATTTTCTTTTATCTCTGTTTTCAGACTGCTGTAGTTTTCTGTGTAGAGGTCTTTCACTTCCTTCATTAGATTGATTCCTAGATACTTTACGTTTTTGGATGCTATTTTGAAAGGAATTGTTTCCCTAATTTTTCTCTCAGTGAGTCTGTTACTTGTATACAAGAAGGCTATTGATTTTAAAGTGTTGACCTTGTCTCCAGCTACTCTGCTGAAAGTGTCAATTAAGTCTAGAAGCTTTTTGGCAAAGTTTTTTGGGTCTTCTATGTAGAGTATTATATCATCAGCAAATAATGACAGTTTAACTTTTTCCTTTCCTATCTTTATTGCTTTAATTTCTTTCTCA